CCCTTCGTGCTTTTACTCTCGTCCTCACCAAGCAATAATATAATGAAAACGTGCATGACATCACCCTTCGTGCTTTTACTCTCTTTCCTCACCAAAGCAATTAGAATAATAAAATGTGCACGGCATCACCCTTCGTGCTTTTACTCTCTTTCCTCACATATAATCAATAGAATTGGCACGGAATGGTACATCGTGCGGCACAACATCACCCTTCGTGCTTTACACTCTTTCCTCACAATAGCAAACAATGCACGGCATCACCCTTCGTGCTTTAACACTCTTCCTCACATAATCGTGGGGATCCTCAGTAGATGCACCACTGAATGTAGTAGTGAAGAGTTTGGTGAAACTTATCCAACATCCACAAAGCCTCTAAAGACGTAGTTGATCTATCACTGGTCTGTGCTGCTGCTCGGCTGAAGAAGCGGTACATGACCTCGCCATTCGCGAAGGGACAAGAGTAGAGGTTTCAATTTAGCATTTTGAGAAACAAAACCGCACGACAGGAAAGAACAAGTGTGAAGTTTTCCTAACTCCGTAGCCTCTGGGGGATAAATACAGACGTCTCTGTACCGATCCCTCAGACTCTACTGAGCTTGTCCATGAATTGTGAGACCTGTGTAACCTAGAGCTCTGATACCAACTTGTCACGACCCGGATTTCCCCACCCTCGGGGGTCGTGATGGCGCCTACTCGTAGAAGCTAGGCAAACCACAAATCATAAACTCCTACCTACTTTATTTTAAATCCTTTTATCAATAATAACAACAAGCATTAAATATTTAAATGACAGAGGAATATGAAATTAAAGCGGAAGACTTAAATTAAATAAGCTGAACAATAATGCGGAATTCAACATGTGCCTCTACCCAAGAACTGGTGTCACAACATCCACGGACTACTAAGAGTACTAAATACAATCGTTTGAAAGAAATATAACATTGTTTGTCTCGAAAACATGAGATAACAGAATGAAATATAAGATAGAGGAGACGCCAGGCCTGCGGACGCGTGCAAGGCTACCTCGGAGTCTCGGTGGACTGAAGGCTGGCTCCCGAGCTACTGCTGCTGTCCGGGACCTGGGTCTGTGCAAAAGAGCACAAAGTGTAGTATCAGCACAACCGACCCCATGTGCTGGTAAGTGCCTAACATAACCTCGGCGAAGTAGTGACGAGGCTAGACAGGACTACCACATAAACATGTACAGTTATATATATATATATATATAGTAAAGCAGGTATAAGCAAGTAAGGATGGGAGGGGGAAACATGCTTCGGGGAATAACAGGTAAAAGCAGAATATCAAGAGAACTATAAAGGAATCAAAATCCAACACTAGCAAGAATAAGGAAACAAAGGCAGATTTCACTTCTTTTACATC